GTCTGGGTTTCCCTGCTGAGACTGCTGCCCCCGCGACCCGATCTCGGATAAGCGGGAGAAAATGGATGGATGGATGGATGATTAATCCATCCCCATGAAAAAAAAATCCTATTGTTATTGCCATATTATATATTGATGCGGTTGTATGAAATAATTTAAACACTGCTTAATACTAAAATACATAAATACAAAAGCAATTACATGAAATAAATGAAAATTTAACCTCGCTTTACCTTGCTGAGAGGAGTTGAGTGCCTACTTCCTTAGAACTCATGGTTAATGAATTTACTAAAAATTTACGTGAAAAAACACAAAATCACGTGAAAATCCACAGAGAGTTATAACGCGGGTTGTTCGCTGAATGGTAGCAACTGGCGTACTGACGCTCGTGGGCTGTGGTGGCGTTGTCTCGAGAGAGGTACAGTAAACAAGGGCAGCGCGCGGTGTCGTGACTCATTTTGACCCATACAAGTTCTAGCACGTATAGAGTCGTATTCCAAACAAAGGTCGTATACAAAGCAAAATTTTTCGTGTCCAAACAGGACGTATACCAAGTTGGACTTATTCCATATACCGAGGTACCACTGTACCAGTTAAGGGTTGTTGTACGGAAGCAGGGGAGACCTGGTGCACTGTTGGCTTGAATGTGTGTTTATTGTTCTTTAATCAGAAAGGTTTCATGCATTGTACCAGCATTTATAAACAGAATTACTACACAATACAAAAGGGGGAGGGGGACATTTCACCTCAGTTCAAAATATATATAATTCAGGTTAATTAGATTACACATGGACACTACAGCTGAAATTAGAGTACTATGAAGAAAAGATTAAATTAGCCAGAGCTGACATTTGACATTTATTTCGCAGGCTGCTAGGCTAATAAAACTGAACAAAAAGTATATATCTAAAGTATACTGCATTTACACTTATACAGTATAGCAGATGCTTTTCCCTGAAGTGGTGTACAGGCAAGGATTGGCTGACATTATCTGTTTAAAGCTTCTCCCTCAAGGGAAACAGCAGCATGAGGTTGTGTGAATCCCGTCATCAGTCGGTCATACAGGGAAGGTATAAGCATCAGTGTTCTTCTAAAATGTAGACTGGACAGAAGTCACCAGGAGATGGAGTGGGATACGGAGGCCAGAATCCATTCTCATGCTTCCATCAAAAGGAATTATGGATAAAGTGGGTGGGATTTCACCTGCTGTGGTTTCTACCTGTCTAACACAAGGCTTTATAAAGAAAACCACAGGCACTATAAATAATCATTAAGACTGTGAAGACGTAGATGGCATTGTTGGACCAGAAGGCAAACAGATACATAGTCTTCTCACAGTAATCTGGTTTCCGAGGAGATTCATAGTTTGGTGGGAAAATACTGTATACCCAGACACTGCCTGTAAAACAATCAACACATAAATTTCATTTTTAAAACTGATGGTAAAAGAGGGTGATTGTGAGCTGATTAACAGCAGGTCTGCACCATTTTCCTTGTTTGACATCAGTTTTCAATCATTAGTGTCTGTGTCAAGGTGGATTTTCACACATCCACCCTCATAAAATACCACCCCCCCCCCCACAACTCTGCAGCTCTCACCTGTAATCAGCCAGCAGACAGCAAACAAGCACAGCAGCAAACGGCAGCCGGTGCTCAGCCACTCCGCAACTGGATTTTGGCACTGGGTGCAGAATTTGCCAAGAAAGTACTGCACCTGTAGTAATATGCCGACCACCCCAAACACCAGCAGGTAGATGGGAATGTAGGGCTGCTTGGGACAATCATTGATGTGCAAACTCCCTGAGAGGAAAGACAGTGCATCCAACAAATGAAGGTTGTTGTTAAACGGGTATCACTAGATCAGTAAGACTTACTCTTACAATCCCCGGGAACTCAATGCTCACCCAAAGCAATCATGGAAAGAGGGAGGAGGGCCGGCAAGATGTTCATATACCCTGACGGAAAAAGAAAGGTGAAAGCTTTGATGGTGCAGGTGAGAGATAGAGGACGTGTCTTCTGCAGGGAAAAGTGGAATACCTTTCCAAGACGACCCTCCAACGTAAAAAGCATTTCCGACCGGCTCCATTTTTGGAAGCAACTCTGGACCTGAAGCAGAAAGCAGCCTTATCACACAGGAGTCACAAGAAACGTCCACACGGCAAAACGTCATCTGCTTGCTCTACTGCGATCGGTCTCTGTTTTGGAGGTTGACAGTCCATCAAAGGACTTCATTAGAATCGAGTCAACAGGAGCTGCAATTGCTTATGGTATCCTTATATTTCAGATTCTAAGTAAGATTAAATGGTAAATGGACTGCATTTATATAGCGCTTTTCTACTCCTATGAGTACTCAAAGCGCTTTACAATACATGCCTCACATTCACCCATCCACACTCACATTCACACACCAGTGGCGAAGGCTGCCATGCAAGGCACCAACCTGCACACCAGGAGCAATTTGGGGTTCAGTGTCTTGCTCAAGGACACTTTGATGGGGTCAAGAAGAACCAGGGCTTGAACCTGCAACCCTCTGGTTGCCGAACGATAGCACTACCTCCCGCGCCACCATCTTCCCTAAGATTACTTACATATTCCATTATCATCACCTTCATAAAAAATAAAAGCAAAAAACTACGATGTTTAAGACTTGTGTTTTAATGCCAGTATTCACCAATAATGTTGTACATAAGCAGTTAATCTTCACACACCCAGAGCATCAAATACTTAAAACTGGATGTTAACCGACATACAGAGTAAAGAAAAAGGATCACAAATCAATAAATAGTTACTTCAACAACTATTTTAACTAATAAGTATATCTTCAAAACAGAAGCATTTTCATATCACTTTTCCTGAATTACATGCCTAGGCAAGGAATATAGTACCTTTAACTATGTGTGAGAACTCATAAGACTATCCATAGTGAATATGCTGGAAACCAAAAATAGCATATGAATAAGATTGCTTTAATTTAAGTAGAATTTGAATCCTACCATTGGTAAGCTGTTGTCGGGCTGCACCTGTGTCACTGCAGCTGAAGCGAGATCTCACTTGCCTTACCTGTTTTATGAGCAAGCTGACGTCGGGCTGATCCTGTGTCACTGCGGCTTAAGTGAGATCTCACCTGTCCAACCTGTTTGGTGAGCAGTTGCAGGAGAACGTAAGCACTTGCGTCTTCAGCTACAGCCTTTATTCTCAGTGCTGTGAAGCACCTAGTTCTTATCAAGCAGTATAGTTTCAAAACCAATCAAATCATAACCCTGACAAGCCTTCTGACCAAACATACACATTTTTGATTACTTCCACTTTCATATATATGTTACATTGGGCCATGGGTCATGGTTTGCAATGCAACTTATGGGACAAAAGGGAACTTTATTTTTGACTGAACTCAAAAGAACTAGAAAGTAAAGGGACAATGAGGGGTCTAAACAAAGACAGGCAAGTAACACAAGAACTAACTTGAACTAAGCATGAGGACTTGGAGCAGGGATCACAGCAGGTCGCAAACAGAGAAAAAGAGACCGTGGGCAGGGACATTTACACACAGATAACGAGATCTCAACAAGGGACAGGCATTGGCCATTAACCATGACTCGGAGAAGAGGGACTTAGAAATACAAGGAACACAGGAGATACAAAGACTACAGGACATAAATACAAACTCAGCACATGCAGGCACAGTTAACCAGGAACAGATGCACTAAAGGCAAAGACAAACTGCAGAACACAAACACAAACATGATTTAATGTGTGGTTTACAAAAACAGAGTTCCGGGGCAGACATGCTTAAAAATGTTCGAAGTCCCATGCCAAACTCACGGCACTATGGGACGCAAGGTTCACAGCTGCATGCTCAGCCTATTCATCCACAGGGCACCCAGGGAACAAGGGAAACTGCGAGGAATTCGACTGGGGCAAGACCTAGGAGAACACATGGAGCAGAACAGGATGACCAGCAATACCTGCTGGACAAACAGGGAACTAGGGACACAACAGAAAAAAAATGCGACGATGCAGGGACCAATCGTGAAACAAAAGTACTTGCATGTCTAATTTCACATATTTCAGTCCATATATATGAGAAAATAAACAGAGCGACTTGGTTTATCTGAAAAAATGTTTATTTACCCATAATATACTGAAAAATGCACATTTATTTGTTTACAGATTTTAAAAAAATAAAAAATCCGAAGATGTTTCTGGGATCTAAAAACTCGTCAGGTTGGAGGGGACAGTGAACATTTTTTAAAAGTGAAATTTTTAAAAGTGGGATGTGGGATGAAGCGGGATGTTCATGGGAAAATGTGGAACAATGTGGTATCAAGCCCATAATTTCAGTCTTCATATTTTTACTGAACCTCAGTCAGGAACCATTGAAATAGTACATTTTGATTATAACAGGGTATTTCGATTTGACATAGGTCTCTAAATATCAGCTGCATCCTCAAGAATGATCATCAGAGGCTGATAGGTATCTGTAGTGCATTATAGATGAGAGCTTCATAAATCATTCATAATGCATAATACACATGGCTATACTGTTATGCCATATGAATGCATTATCAATTGTTATGAATGTGTTTAGAAATGACTAAAAACATGGCCTTCAGTAAAGTTTTACCGTACTGTATTGCACACTATTGTTAAAACTCCACTTCTGCACTTTCTCAGTGCTGTACTACCTCTCTGGGTATTTGCACATTCTTCCCCAATGCATAGTCATTTTTTATTTTACTTCCTACATTGCATTGTGTTTTGTTTTTATGTGCAAGTAAAAAGTGACATGCAGAGTAACCTAATAGTCTATAAACTCGTTAAATGCTCTGCAGACACTTCCGCTCTTAAGTTTTATGTACCTTAAACGGAAGCACATCCCTGCTACCGTCACAATGACCCTCCGCGGTCAAATGTACATTTAAAAAATTCAAAATCTTTGTATGATATTATGTCATATTTCGCTGCATAAAAATTAAAACACACTGATGATCAGAAAAATTCCTGCGTATAATATATCAACAATATATCACTGTGTTTTCAGCATTGGGAGGGTGAGGGACGAATCCATTAAGCGACTAAGTCAAATCTGTCCCCTCACCTTATTTTTATTCATAACTCATATCTATTTATAGGTTATGTGCCCATGTCAGTATTGACTATATACATTTTTTTATATGCATGCAAATGAAATCATTGGCTAGACGATTTTTCCCCTTGGTCAGTAGATTACTTGAGAACCGAATTCCCCCAACAAGTTTATTTACATATCTAAGCGCAAAATCCTGGAAAAAATTTAGGTGGGACAATCACCACTGTTTTGAATATTGTGTGGAATGTGTCTCACCTGTCCCACCCATAAGTAACGCCTATGTAATACTTACAAATGATGAGGGATTATAGAGAAGGCAAGGCTTTGGAATTTCCCAGCATTCCCCTGGGCTTTGACCCTCTTTGACCTCAGAGAAAAAGGAACCAGCTCTCTATCCACCCCTGTGTCAGCCTGGGAATCCCCAAGGGACTGCGGGGAAATTCAGGCAGTGCCTGCTATTCTTCACCCCCCCCACACCCCCCGAGGGGGCTAGGTGCTGTACATTGAGAGAAATGGGAGCACTGTGGCGATTCCGGACAGCGAGAATATTAAAGTAAATGATACTACAGTCATTCATTTTCTTAGATTCACTTTCATGGACAAAAAGGAAACAAAAATATAACTATAGCAAACAGGGCGAAAATATGAAATCACCTCAACTCTGGCCGAGAAATGGCCCAGTCATTTGTATCGATGATTGTTGGGACGTGCCTTTAAAGGACTGTATAGATCTTATGAGAATTAGGTTGTGTCCACCCTGGGATGCCGGTCAGAGCACAAGGAACACACCCACGTGTACAGAAGGGGAACTTTACTGAAGGACATGCGAAGCAGATACAAACTTCGGTGGGACATCACATGGATTATGAGCAGGGAAGTGGAGTTGGACGATTGAATGTGTGGTCTGTGAGGGAACAGTACCGCAATTACAATCTCTCCACGAAAACACGCGTCCGTAAAGAATCACATTCTAATACTACATAGTTTCTTCTGGTGCTATTTTTGTAAAAATCCAACAACTTTGACATTTTTTGTGACATACCTATACATACTAAAATCCTAAACGGTAAAACAACACCACTAATACAAATGCAAGTTTCACTATATACTGCACCAACACAAATAGAATACACATATCTCCCCGTTATAGCTGCATAAATACTTAACCCTTGTAAGTTATTACTATTCAGTGTACTTAACAGTTTATATAATAACGGACTCGCGATTGCACTTTAAACAAATGCAAATACCCGTCAATAAACACCGCTCGATAATTACAATAAACTTAACAGGTACTCAAACAGACAACTAAATTACAGCAATACAAATACATATTTAAATGTAGGACGTTATACTCACATCTGGACATTAACGCACACGGACTAACTTCCGCAAAACATTCAAACTCCCCGATGTGCATTCAAAAAAAGGTTCGTGCGGCTACAAAACTGTCAGCCTTTCGTACAGCCGCCCCCAAATTGGACATCAATTTGCTACTTAAGAAAGGCTGAAAGGTTAGACTATTTAATCTTCTGAAGCAACAGCCTCTTTCTCCTCCGGGATAGTAGGCAGCACAATGAGTCTTGCCACTGGATGAACATAAGTCCTCTGTCCTATCTGGACCTCAGCAGATCTTATCTGTCCATCCAAGCTGGGGTGCACCTTATACACCTTGCCAATGAACCAGTGAGCTCTCGGCAGCTGTGGATCCATCACCAGCACCACCGCATCCTTGCAAATTCCTGGTAGCTCATAATGCCACTTCTTCCTAACTTGCAGATTTGGCAAGAAGTGTCTTATAAAGGCTGACCAAAACTGATCTGCCAGGGTCTGAGAATATCTCCATCGGCGACGACTCAGACATTCTGTTTGGGGATAGAGAACTTGAGGTAGGGCACCATCCCGCCGCCCCATCAAGAGGAAACTAGGAGTTATAGGATCAATGTCTGCCACGTCAGAAGATACATATCCAAGGGGCTTTGAATTCAAGATGGCCTCCACTTCGAGTAGTACTGTTCTGAGCACCTCCTCCGTGACAGACTGGGCCCCCACCGTCTTGTATAAGGCCGCTTTAACTGATCGAACTTCTCTCTCCCAAACCCCACCAAAGTGCGGGGAAGCAGGAGGGTTGAAGTGGAAAGCAATCTTACGCTTTGCAAGGAGATTCTGCAGCTCGGCTGACATAGCTGTAAAGGCCTCATGGAGTTCCCTTTCCCCAGCCTTAAAATTAGTCCCCTGATCAGAATAAAGCTCAGCTGGGTGTCCACGTCGAGCTATGAACCTCCGAAGTGCCATAAGAAAGGAATCAACATCTAAGCTGCAGAGGAGATCCAGATGGACCACTTGGGTTGTGAGACACTTAAGAAGGATCCCCCACCTTTTCTCCAAACGGCGGCCTATTTTCACCTGAAATGGCCCGAAACAATCAACACCAGTTGAATAAAAGGGTGGTTTGAATTAGAGGTCGACCGATATATCGGCCGGCCGATATTTAGCATTTTTTAATGTATCGGCATCGGCC